GATTCTGGGAATTGTAATCCAAAATGATCCCCCCGTGCCCGCCTCTCTATATTGGGTATTGTAAGCCTAAATTCCTAGGTTTAACCTAGCTAGGCTAAGGGCTGAGGAAGGTATGTGAGGATCACATGGGCCAGAGGTAATAAGCAATAAATCAAGTAAACAAGGTCTAGAAGCAAAGCCATAATCAAAAGACAAGCTTGGTAGGCAAGTATCAGTTTAAGCAGATGGGGACCAAAGATGCAAAGGCAGATGAATTGCTCAGACTGAGCTTGGAGAAGAATTTATATATAGCCAGCCATTGCCCCATTGGTCTCTCAGCTCACATGGTCCTAGCTGGTCTTAAGACTTGCACTGTAGATAGGTAATTATGTCACAGTTTTATCACTTTGGGCTAATATGAGAGCTGTCCAAATGGTGCAAGGAGTAAGGTGCCTGGGTTCTGCTGTCAGCACTGTATTCCACTTCAACTGCCATTGTTCCAGCCTATGGAATTCTGGGATCTGTAGTTTAGGGAGGGCTATTTACGGTTCTCAGCCAAAGAGCTCTGGTGCCTCTGTCCAAACTGCAAACTCCAGGATTCTATGGGATGCAGCTGTGGCAGGTGAAGTGGGATATAGCCGTGTATTTACCTAAAGTAAATGGGTTCCAAGTCCCTGATTTAAGTTCCCTGGCACCTTACAGATATTTTCAAATCAGCTTGTTAAGATCAACTTGTATGTCCAGTTTGAAAAAGAGAACAAAAGATGTAGGTTTGACTGTTCATGTGATAACCAGCCTCTGATAAAGTAGCCCAGTTTTGTATCTCTGCTTAGCCTTGAAGGATGTTGCATATCTTTGGACAAGTTTGTCCCTTGATCAGAAGGTTACTGAGGATGCTTAAAAGACAAGAGCTGCAAAGCACTGTGTGCCTGGAACATTAGTATAATGAAAAATAATAATGATATACCCTTCTTTTCTGCTTCCTAATTTTTATGGCTTTGTCTTCTATGCATATTTATTTTATTTTATTTTATTTTTACATTCAAGATCTCATTTTGCAGTTGATGTTCGTACAGCATCATCTAGAGGACTGATCTTCTTCATGGGAGAGAAACTGGGGGACAGATACATGTCTCTTTACCTTTCAAAGGGACGTTATGTCTTTCTACTTGCTGCCGATGGAAGAAAGATAAAGATCAAGAGCAAAGCCAAATACAGTGATGGACAGTGGCATACAGTGAGTGTGAGGGCGGTTCAAGTTAAAGCTGCTCAGCTTTCCATTACCTATTAAAGTACACAGGGCAACTTTCTACTTCAGTTACCTTATGTTAGAGACACTCCCAAACTGATAACATTCCTTACCTTATAGATTATTTCTGAATATTCTGTGAGATCCTAGCAGCTCAGCCAGTCTACACTGAGACTTCATTACTGGTGTCAAGAACTCTCTTGGTGCTTTATAACATTAGTCTGTGGAGCCTACAACAATCATTTTCCAAGATAATCTGCTCCCTTCCCCCCAAAAACAGGAAGTGGGGTTATGTGTTTCTTCCCCTTACTTCCCCTCTTAAATGCAAATATCCCCCATCTCTGTACTACAGCTGCTATACTGGCAACAGTAGTTAAATGCACTTAGGATTCCCTTCAAATTTAAACTGGGATTTGAACCCTGGCACTAATAGAGTCAGCATGGTGTAATGGTTTCAGTGCTGGACTATGGCTCTACAGACCAGGGTTCAAATCCCTGCTCAGCCATGGAAACCCATTGAGTGGCTTTGGGCAAATCACACTCTCTTGGCTTCAGAGGAAAGCAATGGCAAACCCCCTCTGAACAAACTTGGCAAGAAAAACCTGTGATAGGTTCGTCTTAGGGTTGCCATAAGTCAGAAATTATATCAACTAACAGTGGCACCATTTTTTGTGTGCTAATACTTATGTAAACAAAATGGCATCAGCCATCCACAACAGAAAGGGATCAAGAGGCTTCAGAGAAACCCAAAGTATGGAGAAGAAGAACAAAAGTTAAGAGGATGGGGAAACAACCTTCTCCCCAAATTATAACTAAGCATAGTTGATGGCTACAGAATAGTGATTAAAAGAGGCCATGGCAGAGTATATTGGAAAACAACATGGGTGTCATTCCACACTGCACCATTTCCCCTGCCCTTAAGTATGGTTAAGAAACAGAGAAATATATCTGTGTCAGCTCTTAGAGAAGACTCCAATATATGCAGATTAAGCCATTTAGGCATGTAAACATTTAGAGGGAAATAGATGCATTCACCTGACCTACCTCCTCCTAGAAATCCACTTTTGCTCTTCATACTGGATGAACTGCCAGCATCTTAAAATTTCTGTACAACTGGAATGTTGGCTCTTGACTTTGGGCCCTGCTTGTGGGTTTCCTAGGAGCATTTGGTTGGCCACTGTGAGGATTAGGAAGGAGTGTTTTCACCCTTGATCCAACAGGGCTCTTCTTATAATTATATATTCTATATATATTCCATATATTGTATGGGCATGTTTTAAAAGAAAAGTACAAATTATATAAAGGTAAACCTAAAGGTAAACCTTAACATGAATGTCTAGTCGTAACTGACTGTAGGGGGCGGTGCTTATCTTCATTTCTAAGCTGAAGAGCCAGCGTTGTCCAAGGATTGCTCTGGTGGTCATGTGGCCAGCATGACTGCACCGAATGCTGTTATCTTCCCACCGAGAAGTGGTACCTGTCTATCTACTTGCATTTGCATGCTTTCAAACTGCTAGGTTGGCAGAAGCCGGGACTTGTGACAGGAGCTCATCCCATCATGCAGCACTCAGGCCTCAAACTGCCAACCTTCTGATCTTCCGATCATCAGAATTGGCGTCTTAAACCAGAAAGCCACCACATTCCTACAAATTATATAGGAAACTTTAAAGGTTGGAGTGGGCAATTGTGGGAACCTAGCGAGGCTCATTAGTTCCCCTCCCCCCAAAGATCTTGGAAGGCTATACTGCATCTGTCTCTACAACAAACAAACAAAACACCACTGTATTTTTTGCCCCAAATGCCACTATAGGACATGGATAGCTTTTCTACCTATTTCCAGGCCTTCCTGGGCTATTTTAGGCTCGGGGTGGCCTTTTTTAATAACAGGGAGTATTCATTTCATATTTCAAAGAAGGCCTCTCTTGAGCCTAAATTCGTCCAGTGGGTCCCCCAAACATGGTGTGAATGCCCTCTAACCTCCTAGAGGGCATTTGGGAACAAAAACATTTTTTCAAAAGTTTGTATTTTTTTTACCCCAGGACATATTGGGGGGCTCCTGACATGGTGGAAATGTGTTCCATACCCCTTAGAGGGCATTTTGGAGCAAAGTTTTTTTTAAAGTACTCCTAGGGGTGACAAAAACAACCATGGGGACTGCATGTGGCCCATGGACTGCACTTTACCACTGCTGATCTACATGGAGGAACTGCTAGAGAAGTATATAACAGATTAACTGAGAGACTGGAAATTGCAGCCATTCATCCATAGTCATTGTGTAGGCATGAAGTTACATTTATATAAGTGAATATTCCCTCCTTCAACAAGTATGCAAAACAGCAAAATAAGGTAATGGGCAATGATGTGTGAAGAACTTAGCTTTCTTTTCTTTTCTTCTTTTCTAAGAAAAGAATGCTAAGCAAGCTTCTAACTCTTATAATTATGGAGTCCTCATAATTATTCAAGCTTGTGGGTGACATCTTGTAAACTCTTAAGGGACAGTGATCACTGCATTATCAAAAATACAGAATGATAAAATACTTGAAAAAGCAGAATATGTTTAATGCTTAGAATGAAGGGAAAAAAGTGTATGCTAGACCAAACCCATGCTTTGTACTGCTTAATCTTTCTATAACATGTTGGCTAAATACTTACGTTTCTCTCCTGAAAAGGTGACATTCAGCCAAGCTGGACAAAAAATGCGTCTTGTAGTTGACGGTTTGAAGGCTCGAGAAGGGAACATACCACCTACATTTTCTATTAAGACTGAGTCACCGATTTACCTGGGAGGAGTCCCTTCGTTGAAAGTTCAGGTAAAAAACTGAGGTGTTAGTTGATGCGGAATTAGATTACGGTTGGGCAACACTTTCAGTCCAGTGGCTGAATTCCAATCTGGAAAGTGGCTTGGGGCTGCATTCCAGCAGTGAGTTGGGCTAAGGGCATAGAGGGAGGAATACAGGAAAAGGGCAGGTGGTAGTTTAGCAAAGTGGGTGGTGTCAAATGTAATTCTTATTAATTTGCACATATTCAGCATCAAGTATATAAAGCTCATTTCAGTTCTTTGCAGTGTACTTTAAGCAAGAACCAATGTACCAGCTTCCTGGACAGCAAAGCAGACCTCAGGTCTGTGTATATAAATTTTTTTCAGCAGCAAGGTGCTTCAGTTGTTGTTGTTGTATGCCTTCAGGTTGTTCCTTATTGCAACCCTATGGCAAGCCTCTTACTGCATTTTCTTGGCAAGATTTGTTCAGAGGGGGTTTGCCTTTGCTTTCCTCTGAGGCTGAGAAAGTGTGACTTGCCCAAGGTCACTCAGTGAACAGGGTTTCAAACCCTGGTCTCCAGAGTAGTTGTAGTCCAACACTTAAACCACTACATCACAGTGGCTTTCTAAAGTTTTAATGCACTGCTCTTTTAATGCCTTTAATATTTAAATAGCATGGTATTAAGCTTATATGCTGCTCTTATTGCCAGTCACTGATAAAAGATAACAGTGAGGTTTCTCTTGCTGGAGAAAAAAGGAAAAGAAGGCAATCACAAGCTGGATGTAGTCCCTCGAACTGGCTCATAGGCTACAAGTTTTTCATCCTTTATTCAAGACTATTTTCAAACTACATGTTGATTCTACTTTAATTTCCATTGTTCTGTCCAGTGGAATTCTGGGATTTGGAGTTACATGAAGTTCCTTGGAATTCTTTACTAGAGAGCTCTATGCCTCACCGTGCTGCACATCCCAGGATTCTGTAGGATGGAGACATGGGGTTTAATGTATTTGTACTTTTATCCCTATTTATCCACAAGCTTCAAGGAAGCCAATGTTTCCTCTTCTTTTCAGCTTCATGTAAAAAAGTGGGAGTCACAATATGATCAGTATGTCACCTTCCAGCTTGACTTTCACTAGGAAATGTAGATGGGAATATAAATGCAAAGCCAGACTTTGATTCATTCTTTTCTGGCACTTACACAGATGCACAATAGTTTCACTGCCACTGTCCACAGAACAGGGCTCTTCGGAGGGGAACACCACTTTCTACAAGTAACATTTTGGGACAGATTATTCCTGACTGGCTTTTGTAGCCATTCACAGAGCCAACATTAGCCTTTTCTTGTTAAATGTATGTATTATGTATTCATTTGATGATGGGATATGCCAGGCATATTTTACATTTACCATTAAATTATTAAAGATGAGTCCATCTTTGGCTAACAAATCAGTTGGATCATGCTTCTCCTTTTTCTGTAGGTTTGTATTATCCTGTTTCATCAGTGCTGCTCTCTCTGTCTCTCTGCTTATCCTGTTTCCCTAATCTGTTACCCTCCAAATATTTTGGAATATAGATTTCAGAATTCTTGACCGTTAGCCATGGTATCTGGTACTCATAGAATTGAAGTCTAAAACATCTTAAGGGCAGCAGGCTGAGTAAACTGATCTAATTTATTACCCTTTAGTCCCTTCTCTATTCCTTTGCAAACTTAAAATTATTATGTCTGAACAGTCCTACCTGTAGAAGAGAGGGTGCTGCCTAAATGTAAAGGAAACATTTATGAATCTGTTATAGATTTGGCTGCACAGAGTACTGTGCTGCTCAAATACATATGATTGAATTTAATGCAATCTGTGTTTTTGTGTTTTTGTATTTCTATTTTGTATTTGTATTTTCAGAATATTCCAAAAAAGAGCTTTGTAGGTTGCTTGAGAAATTTTAATGTGGGAGGAAAGCCTGTTCATGCTTACCATCAGAACAGTGGTGTTTTGCCTTGCTTGGATAACACTTTGGAGAATGGGATATCCTTCTTCGGTGAAGGCGGGCATGTTGTCATTGGTGAGTACTGCAGCAGGAGTTACTGGTTCTGATTATCAAAATCTTGGCATTCACTAAGGATTTTATCACACAAGGCTAAAAAGTGGAATTTTAACAGGATAAAAGTATCATTGGTCTGTACTTATCACACAACGTTGTGTCCATCCTGTTGCTGCTTTGCATTCCATTAATTACTGTAGTGGACCTTTTCACTGACAGACAAAACCCATCAATAGGCTCTTAATCTCACAGCTATTCCATTACTGCCGTATGCAATAGGTCCCTTCCACTGCAGTTCTGCTTCTCAGGCAGTCACATGGTGTGAGTAGGTGTGATTTTGCTCCTCTCCCTCTCACAGCGATTGCAGCAACTAACACCTTCCCACATTCCCACAGCAGCAGACTTCTGGAAGCTGTTGGCAGCCATGGTTGCTTCTCCTCTCCATTCTTGAAGCATGGGGTTGTTGTGTGAATGCGCACACAACAGTCCTGCACTTTGGGAGTGGGGAGGAGCTGTGGCCTTCTGAAGCCTGCTACTGTGTGCATATTGACACAGCAGCCAGCTTCAAGAGGTTTTGGCAAACATACTTGCTCATTCCCACCCATTCTTCTAGAAAGTGGTGTTTGGCAGTGCAGAAAACACATCATGTGACTGTAGATTGTGAAAGTGCTATCGAGGAGGAAAGTGTGATTAGAAATTATGCCAATATG